CGCATTAAACTTTAGTCTATGTCGATGTTGTGCCGAACCCTTCGGGCACGACACTGATTTTACGACAAAGAAACATTCTAAACTGTCATATTTCTAGTTTGGGAGTTCGGCACAACTTTGACACCGATTAAAGCATAATGCGTTTGTTGTGCCGAGCCCTTCGGGCACGACACTGGTAGGAAATCAACAACTGACATATCGGACAGTTTGCAACGTTTTTTGGCATAAAAAATCAGCGTCGTGCCAGAAGTGCTCGGCATAACAAACGCATTAAACTTTAATTTATGTCGATGTTGTGCCGAACCCTTCGGGCGCGACACTAACTTTACGACAAAAAAACCTTCTAAACTGTCCTATTTCAAATTTAAAAGTTCTGCACAACTTTGACACCCATTAACTATTGCCAACATGATTTATGTCGATGTTATGCCGAACCCTTCGGGCACGACACTGATTTTACGACAAAAAACCTAAACTGTCTTATTTCTAGTTTTGAGAGTTTTGCACAACTTTGACACTCATTAATTCTAATGTGTTTGTTGTGCCGAGCCCTTTGGGCACGACACTGGTAGTAAATCAACAATTGACATATCGGACAGTTTGCAACGTTTTTTTGCATAAAAAATCAGTGTTGTGGCCGAAGGGCTCGGCACAGCAAATGCATTAAACTTCAATTTATGTCGATGTTGTGTGGAACCCTTCGGGCACGACACTGATTTCACGACAAAAATCTTTCTAAACTGTTTTATTTCTAGTTTGAGAGTTCGGCACAGCAGAGAAGGGCTCGGCACAGCAAATGCATTAAACTTCAATTTATGTCGATGTTGTGCCGAACCCTTCGGGCACGACACTGATTTTACGACAAAAAACCTAAACTGTCTTATTTCTAGTTTTGAGAGTTTGGCACAACTTTGACACCCATTAAAGTCTAATGCGTTTGTTGTGCCGAGCTCTTTGGGCACGACACTGGTAGTAAATCAACAATTGACATATCGAACAGTTTGCAACGCTTTTTTGCATAAAAAATCAGTGTTGTGGCCGAAGGGCTCGGCACAGCAAATGCATTAAACTTTAATTTATGTCGATGTTGTGTGGAACCCTTCGGG